CCAGCCAGGCTATATGGCAAGCAATATGGCAATATGCATATTCGACGATGTCATTCCCGTGACCCAGTTAACAGGGGGAGTGGAGTGGAGTGGAGTGGAGTGGAGCAGGGCGTCGCCTTTAATTAGCATATGCCAAAGCAGGTGCGCGGAATGTGCGAAGCGCGATAATTTGTGGATGGGCTTTGCCATTTGAATAATGCCCCTTAACTAAGGCAATATTTTGGGGCAACGAGAGGCCATAATAGAAGTTTGGTGGCTCTGCAGGCATAGAGAGCACAGAGAATTGCAAATTGACCTGGTCATTATATGATTTTGGGTTTAATTGGTTTTTGGCAGTAATCTGTGGAATTTTAAAGGTAAAATCGGGGATAAGGGAAGGGTTTAAATTGGAGTAGGAATTGAAAAAATTAAAAAGTTATTGTTATCGATAAATGTATATTTTAATGTGGCAATAAATGTGCGATAAATCGATATTTTGATAATTTATTTACCTGAGATATCTATATTTCGATAATATCGATATTTTAATATTAAATGTGATGTATTTCAATGTTTAAAAGTTCGATATACTACAATTTCCGATTTTTATGATACGTAATATATATTATCGGACTTATTCTCTCGGTATTTAGCCCTGAAATAGAGTCTGTAGTATTTATAAAATTAAATAAGAGCTTTTCTTATATTTCATATGATTGAAAGTTTCAATTTGAAACAGCTTGTTTTTACTTTCTGTTAAATCTAAATACAATATAGGGCTAAGGATAAGCCTTCAAGTGTTCCAAATAAAGTAAAGTTACTATATTTTATAAATTCTCCACAAATCTCTAGAAGTAAATTCTCGATATTTACTAAACCCCAAACTAGCTTTTTAATACCTTGCATCGTCTCTTCTCCTACGTTTACCTTTCTAGGCAGATAACCAAATGGAAATCTTAACCAATTTGCCCTCTTTCATACATAGATTTCAAAGGCATTTTTAGACAGGTCTTCTTTGGGACCCCTGAAGAAATGGCTCTGCATCAACAAGTAACAAAAGTATGCAGCAATTTGACTTTGGCTTCTCTGCATAACAGAGAAATCCCCTCTGGCATTCGTAGGGCCCTGGGGCACACACAGAACACACAACACACAACACACCCACTGAGAACCGTTCTAATCCCTTTTGCCATGCATCACATCAACCTCGGCAGAAAGGGGTTAAATCCAATTCGGTTCAGCTTTTCGGTGGCCTCACTCGCTCTTCCTCTCCGGTAACAACAACAATGGATTGAAGAATAAGCCTGGGGTCAGCCAGTAAATACAAGAGGGAAAAAAAGAAGCAGCGTAGAATGCAAGGAAACCCTAGGAGATGGGCTGGGATTTTTCAGCTTTTCAGTGCAAGCACTTCAATTTCAATGTAATCTCTTTAAAGGTGAAACTACAAACGGACAAACTTAAATGAGTTTCAATTTCAATTTCTATATCGATTCCGAAGGGAGTAGAGTGGCGGCGGGAGTACAAATAAATTCAGTTTTAGAGATGCCTTCGGTTGTAGACTTTATTTGATTTCATTACGCGCCCGGCTTTTACCTCTACGTTTCATTTCATTTTATTACTTTTCATGTATGGACAATCAAACATTGATGTCAGAATTTAATATGCTGTATAAATCGTTTTGAGCCATTGACACATTCATGCATTCGTTCAGTTGTACATACAAACATATATACTGGTATTCGTAGAATCAACAAACCAAAGTTGTCTCCATGGAATGTATGTAACCTCCTCTCTCTCTCTCTGAGTATTTGTATGAAAAAAATATTTATATTTACACTCAACTCGTATATATAGCAGGGCATCGGCAGCAGCAGCAACGCCACTTATATACATTTTTTTTATATATTTTTTATTTCTTTGTTTTGTATAAAAAAAAAAAAAAAGGAAAGAGGGGAGCGGCTTGCGTAGGGAAAGGAGAGTTTTTCACTCTTATTGCTTTTCGAAGCTTTTCCATGGTTCACATTTCATTTATTTTCACTGTGTGCACTTCACAACTTAATACACTTTATTATTGAAAATATTTTTTATTACAAGTGTGGGACTGGCTCTGATCGCTGAGAGGGCTTCCTGGAATTTGGTTTTATATACTTTTTTTTGGTGGCCCTGACACGCAGCTCTCATAGTTGTTTGGGGCATTGATTTGCTGCACTCGTTTCCACGAAATACAAATATAAATACAAACCGAAAAAGCACTCTTTTTTTTTTTGTATATGAATAAACCGAACAGTACCCTCCCCCATAACGTAGTATATTTTATATACATATATTTTTTACCAGACTTTTGCTCCCTCTCTGATTTTGATATTCATGTTGCATGTTGCTGACTTCTGAAGTTTTTTTCGGCAATTGGAACTTTTTCCTTTGCCTCAAGTGTGGGGGGAGGGAGCACAAAAAAAAATAATATAAAAAATACAAGAACACAAAAAACAATATGAATAGCTCTCTTTGCATTGTTTACTTTAATTTACATTTTATTTTTATTTTTTCAATTCGTTTCGTTTTCGGTTGTCGGTTTTCGGTCGTATGCAAATTCCCTGTCGCTCTGAGAGCTTCTTTAATGAACTAATTTTGCGGCATCGTCCGATTATTTATGTATTTCTCGCTTACTCTCGCCTCGCTGAATTCAATTAGGCGTGTGCCACGTCCCTACCCTGCCTTATGTTTATTTATGCCCCGACTGCTGCCTCATTTGCAAAAAGTTTCCCCAAACGAAAAGATTCTGTATGTGTCAGTTTGATAAATGATATCAATTTCTTATAGACACCACACACACACAGACACACTCCCCCCCTTTGGTAGGCTTCAAAAGTTTGTTTTAGAATGTGTTTCTCTGTTTCTCAACTCTGAAGTCCTCGTCCACTTTTGCCAATTTGACACTTTTAGCGATGCGCGTGTGCCGTGGCACTTGAATTTCAAATGTATCTCAAGGTCTCTGACAGTTGAGTGCATGAATTTTTAATACCGAACGAGGCAATCTCTTAGGGCACACCGTTCTCTGCTCTGAGTTTTTGTTGCCAATATATGCTAATCGCCCGAGAGAGTTGTATTCTGGAGTTGAATGAAGCGGAAAACTTTTTGCCAAGATTTGCCTAAGTAAATTATCAAAAAAAAGCGGTGGGATAAGCCACCCCAGTAACAAGTTGATAAGCCTAAATAAATGTCAAGTGAGATAATAATAAAATTTTATAAGTAATTAATTTGTTTGGGAGTTTTAGAATGGGGAAAAATATTAAAATAATTAAGCTAAAAGGGGATTAAGGGAAGAGTCTTAAAATAAGAGAAAAATTAATTATTTTAATAGAATTTATAGTCCTTCTTTTTTATATTTCTTTACCCAAAAAAGCAACAGGTTCTCTAGAAACTTCCCCAAAATGTACAAAAAATCCATAACCCGGCCTACTCTTTTTTGGCAGAAATCAATTTGTTGTGAAAATGCTTTTAAAACTAAGACTAGCCAACCATAAATTATGTTAGATATTAGTCAACTCTCTTCCAAAAATATAAAAATAAAAAGAAACAAACAAAAATCTCTGCAATAATTTAAAATGCCAACGAACATTCATAACGAGCATACAATTAACACAAATTCCCCCCTCATTCTGGCTGGCCGGCAGCTATTAGCCCAGAAAAACACACATTGGAATGAACGCACAACACAACACATTAGCCGAGAAATAGCCTCAACCTCAGACGGCGAGATACAGATACATTTAAGAGACCCACCAAGTAGCCAGATACAAGATACAAGCGGCGGCGACAGACGGACGACAAAAACGGCCGCGAGGCAAACGGTTCCCAGATCCCAATGTAAATGACATAGGAGAAAAAAAAATATCATAGAAGGGAGGAGTGCACTGTAAATTAATTTTAAATATATAAAATATTTTATAGGGTTAAATTTATATTGTTTTTAAATTAGTTTTTAATTAGGAAAAAAGAATAAAGTTAATTCTTACGTGATAAAGATTTATTTATACAAAATAAATTAATTTTGGTGCTTAAGTTTTATGATTATTATTTTTTCTTTATATTGAAATGAGAATAAGCTTAATTTTTTAAATTTTTCAAGAAGAAATTGATCACTATTTAAGTGATAAATAGGTTTAGAGTTTTTGTTTGTATTCCAAGACACCTTAAGTGCATTTTGGTATAATCTAAAAAAAGTTACACCTCTTTTCCCCAGTGTATCAGAATTGAAAAACTTTTGGCCACTAATCTATAATGCTGTCAGGCATTAAACAACTGAAAAGCCAAATTTGTAACTCATTAAACAAAGGGCAGCGAAAGGGAAAAAATATATTTAAACAAAAAAAAAGAAAGAAAAATGAAACGAAACGAAACTAGCCAAACTGAATGACTGATAAATGCCACTCGAGTCTTGCCGGCTGTCTCATTTGGACTGCCAAATAATATTTAATTATAAACAAATAAACGAGGGAGAGCGCAGAGCCAGAGCCCGGGGTTAGGCACGTCTCGTAAAAGGTGCCGAGTGATTAATTATTATGTCAGGGAATTAAATCAAATATTTGAGTTGACAGAGCGAACGTACCGCGTCGTAGCGGAGCGATGCAAGTCTTATCTGTCTGTTCGAAATCACGAAATGCAAATAAAAATGACTTTAAGGAAAAAGGCGAAAGAAAAAATGCCATAATAATTTCTTTCTTTCTTTCTCCCTGGTTGCTGTCGCGCGGCATGAAAAATTGAAAAGCCAACACAGGCCGCGGGCAAAGATAACATAATCCCATAGCCAGAAACCGTGAGGTACCTACACCTCCTCCCACCTTTTTCTTTAATTTTTTTTTTGTACGATTTGGTTTCGGTTTTGGGTTTGTTTTTATTTCGATTTGGAAGAAGACGAAGACGAAGACGGACAAAGAAAGAGGGAAACATTAGCATATATCAATGCCAAATGCAAATAAATCATCAATAACATTTCTCTGCCACTTATGCACCACTTACAGATACTTACGCCAGAGGACGGAGCGATACGGCCGATACGGAGCGATACCTGAAGAACTGCAGAGCTGCAGCTGCGGTGTGCATTTTCCCTCGAGTAAAATCCCCTTTCGTAGCAAGAACAAAAAAAAAGAAAAGAAAAAGAACGAAGAAATAATATGTAAATAATGAATAAACGTCTGTCTAACTAAGGCGCCTTGCATAAATTTACGCCGGGAGGGAGGATAAGCCCGAAGAGTAGCAACGGAGGAGTGGGAGTAAACCAGCAAGGAGAGAAATGGAAAGGCAAACATAAAGCAATTTTATGCGTTTTTAAAATGCGGCAATTGGCTGAAACAACACACTGGAAAATTCGAGCGAACCGCATGTGAGCACGTTTCGCCTTTTCCGAAGGGTAAATCAAATACGAAGGGAAGCAACTCCAACTCCAACTCCCAACCTCAATGCCATATCTCAGACGCTGATAAGCAATATAACGCAAATGCATGATGGTTTGTTGACGACCAACAAAAAGTTCTTGAGAGCGTGTGTAAACATTGGCTGAAAACTGAGTACTGAAGGAAAGCGCAAGGACAGCGGAGAAGGATCTCCCTTTACAGTTACAAATTGTAGCCACAGCTGTGCGTGTGTGTTGCTCCTGCTCTAAACCATTTATAAATGTAACAAAAAAGCAAGAAAAGAAAACAAGCAAAAAGCAGTGGAAAGCCCTTGGCACAAGTGCAATGCATAAATATAACACACACACAAAGAGATACAAAATAACTGAAAAGGTGTTTGCCAAAAAATACACAAAAAACCTAAAAAAAACGCACGCGTTTATAAATCGATAATTTAAAGCAATGAAAGAGCTATAAACACTGGCCTTGGCCATAAAAAAATCACACTTAAGGAGTAATGCCGTCGCGGTTAAGTGCTAAAAGTGCAATTTCAGCAATTGTATCTGCGAGATACATTAGCCTGGGCACCCAGGGGTGTGTGTCCCGCGCTTAATGACAATTTGACACAGGCAAAATACATGAAATTGAGCAATTTATATGCCAAATGTGTAATTTGAGATACGTTTTGTAGCCGAGCCCGAGATGAGCAGATGTTGGGTTAAGCAGAGGACCAAAGAACTTTAATTGCAGCCAGTTGTTGTGTGTGTGTGTTGCAACATTGAGATACAATGCGTATCCATGAGATACTTTTCCGTGTGTGCTGTGTGTTTGTGCAATAAACTTGCAAAGAACATTAATTGCAACTGCTACTAACTGATGCCAGATGGCTATGTGTATCTGTGAGATGCATCTGAGAGGTGCATGTTTTTAAGAAAAAAGAAATATATAAAACAAAGCTTAAACTACAAGTGCGTATCTGTTGTTTGTGAAATTAAATCTTGAAATAAATATACAAATATAAAATGCAATGCATTTGCATTCATTAAATATATTAAAATAAATCTAAAGGTATCAATTAGGTAAATTGCATCAACAAAAAACCCTCTCAGTGCCATTAACCTTATTTATAAAATCAAACTAAATAACAAAATAAGTGAGATTCGAGATACAGTGAATAAAAACTACAATAAAAGTGTGAAAAAGATTGGCAACAGTGATACGTATTTGTAAAGCCATAAAAATAAAACAATACAAAAAAAATAAACCAACATAAAAAGTGCTTCACCTATGGATAAATATTTCTTTTCTCTCTTTTTTTTTGCCCGCCACTAATGCAATTTAACTAAAAACCAATTCATTACTTAAACCAAAAATCCTTCTAAACTGTATTACAGAGCATCATCCACAATTAGCGCCATCGGAGCCGAGGAGCCAAGTAGCAACCAATGGAACATGTTGATGCCGGTGCGGGAGTACAACAAGCACATAGCCAAAATACCAAATTGCAAGATGAGGCAGCGGCCAGCGCTTAGAGCGGCGTTCGTCTGGATGTGCTCGCTTCCGTTTTTGCTGCTGCTGCTAGTGCTGCTCCTCGACGTGGCCCAGGCTCTGGATCCAGCGGCCAGTGGAGCCGGGAGTTCAGGAACTGGAGGAGCAGGAGGTGGTGCTACTTCTACTGCCGGCGGAAATGGCGGTGCAAGTGGAGGCAGCCTGAGCAGTGGACCGCCCACACTCATTGCCAATCTCACGGAACAGGGCAGTCCCGGTGTGTATAATTCGACAATGGGTTATAATGCTAATTACATGTATATATAATATACATATATATGGCGTTTATGTGGCTGTTTAGCTGACCTTTGTAACTTTTAATACCCCTCCCATAACGAAAGCGATGCCGCCATTTTGGCATTTGAAGGCAGGTTTATGCCAGGAAAATATGATGAAAACAGCATATATATTTTTTAAATTCAACAAATAGTGGTCTAAATTATAAAATTGTACATCTGTAAAGTGACCAAAGCTATCAAAATTTTCTATACGGCAAGGCTTCTCCTAATGTTTCTTTATAAAACATCATTAAAGAGGCAAAACAAGTGGGTTCTTACTTACTTTTAAAAATATTTAAAAATCAAGAAATGATTTCGAAATATAAAAGCAAACCTTTATATCCAAATTGCGTGACCAGATTTTCAGAATTCACCAAGGTGGCAACCTTATTCCTTGTGTTTTTCACGAACTCGGTCACACTTAATTTGGCTAATTTCAAAAGCCCGTGTAAACATGGAATGTGTTTGTGCACCAATATTTGTGTGCGTTTCCTTGTGCGCATTTCCGGTTTCCGCTTCCGCTGGCTCGCTCGCTAGCCAAGCGGGTGGCAAAAACTATTAGCCACTTGGCGCTAAATAACCACGCCCACGACCCACAGCACCCCCCCATTCGAGGCAAAACACTAAGCATCAATTAACCCAATTTTCAGAATCCATTTTCACCTGCAGTTAAGTTGGGAAAAGCTTTTGGCTTTTTCACAGTATTTTTCTAGCTGCGTGTTCGCAGTACCTTTATACATATGTATGCATGTTTTTTTTTCGAGAGAGAGAGAGAGAGTTTTTCCTTTACCTTTGCCCAAGCAAATGCCCAAGTGACGGTGTCGAAACCAAGTTCCAACTCCCAAAGTCCCCCAAGCCGCCCACCTAATCCCATCGAATAATGCTGGCCTGGCCACTCTTGTCCAGACTTTTGTTGCCTTCTCTTCCACCATTTCTTTCGCAGGCGTTGGCTCGATTGTTGTAGTTTGGTTTGGTTTTGGATCTGGATTTGGATCTGGAGTGGTCGTCGCTGGAGTGGAAGCTGCAATAATAATTAATCCATTGATTTTACAATATTTTTTTTCAGCTTTAATAATTTACCTTAATAAATATGCATTCTTTCGCAGCATTTAACAATGAATATTTAAACAAACATAACCTTTTTTTGCAGCCCATATAGGTCTTTTTTTTATTGTTTATTTTGTATAATAGTTGCCTTTTTGGTGTGGATCCAATTACAAATTGATGAGCAGGTAATGAACGCAAAAAAACAAATAAGGACACAATATACAAAAAAAAAAAAAAAACGATAATTTTAATTTGGAAACGCTACTTGTGTTGCCAACTTTGATTTGCATGTAATGTCATAAATAATTCATTCGAACGCATTCAACATTTATACATAATTCCATCTGCCTCGTTTTGTTCTAGCTGTCGCTATTAATCAAATTATCCGTATACTATGTGCATTTTTAACGGTCTGGTTTTTCTCTTCTCTCTTTTTTCTTTTTGTTGTTGTCATAACGTTTATGCAGCCGCCTGGAAATTCGGTGTGACAGAGCAGAGAGCAGGCGGTCATAAACTACTGCAGAATGCGGGTGGCCATAAGAACTGACGCTTGATTGATTCTCCCAGCCACGAGGGACACCTGGAACGCGCGATGCCAGATGTCAGGGATAATAAATTTAGGTGACAACACTCGAGAGATACATTGTGTATTGCTGGAAGTTTGGAATCGTTTGAAAAATAGGAGTTTGGAGATTAAAAAGTTTGAAATAAGTTTTTTAATTAATTAGATTTTTGGTAAACTAAAAGTTAAATCTAAATTGTTACCCTATCCTAAATTATAACTAAATTATAACTTCCCATAATGATAAGTAAAATGTTTAAAAATATATAAGAATTACTTTAAATGTGACCATGGTTTTCTGAAATTACCAATGTGACCTTTACTTTGTATTTTTTCTAAATTCGATCTTTTGTAATACAACTTTAATATAAAATATATTAAAAACTATTAAAATTTATAACTAACTTGATAAATGTTTACAAATTAATTTTATAAGAACATAAAAGACTGTTTAATACCCTATTAAAAACCCTCAAACTTTGTTAACTAACTTTAAGATCTGTAAATAAAATCAAACTAATTTATATAAAAACAAACCATGAAATGTCTTGATGGTGTGTCATCCTTTTTTTTGGTTTCATTTTCATGTTGAACTGTCGATCAGGCACAACTCCTCGGCAGGAAGTTGTCTTAACCTGTCCATAAAGATGGCACTCCTCGGCCTACACGATTGCCGTTAAAAACTGGTTTTAATCTGAGACTCTTCAGACCTCCTGTACCCTCTTGTGCCCCTTGTGGTTCTTGCGGTGCGCCGTGAGATACGTACTTTATGCATTTTCTGACTGCATCTTGATAGGCCGCATCGGTGGTGGAGACCGGAGACGACGGGCCCAGGCCGGGCCAAAAAGATTGACTCCGGGCCGAGTGTTGATAAGGCCCCGCACAAACGGCCGATAAAGTCAATCAATCAGCTGGGAGACAGCCGCGGCTCAAAGCGGACTTAATTATCTGTTTTAGATAAAGCCAAGGCCAAAAATAGCCACGGTTAGTAATGATGTTATGTTAAATATCCCAACAAAAGCGGTCATTTAATATGCCAATTGTGAGGCGAACAATGGTCCATACTTGGTCTTATGGATGGTCACCATATTTAGGTAGCTTTTAGAGATGCTCGAACAAGACTTTGAATGGCTTTTATTATTATTATTGTTATATTAAACAAACGATTTTGGAAGGCTTTGAAAGGAACCACCACCTACGTAGAGGTGAAGATCTGTTGGGAAATACCAGCGATTCATTCAACGAAAAATATGAATTGATATTTTATTGATATTTAGGTTTGTTTCCTTTTGTGATGTAGATAAAGGTATGTGGTTTGTATAGGAAATAAGTTAGTATAAGCTTACTTATAAAATATGGCACTATTAGATTTTTCCTCTCAATATACTCTTTTTAAGCCACTAACTGGTTTTCCATTTCAACGAAACAATAATAGTCAAATATCCACCTCATTTAACCTAACCCAATTCTTCTTTAAATGCCAAAATCCATCGATTCTGAATTCATAGTTCCACAAAAGCCAATATTTACTTAATTCCCCTACTAGACAAGCTTTGGAAATCACAATCTTTGCACATAGTTTGCAAAAGAATTTTTCTTTAAATTTCATTTTGTTAAATTGCCTCTAAAATTATGTGCCGAACAATTTGCCAATCCAATTCTCCCTGCCCGAAAACCTAGGAGCAGCAACCCAAGAGGAAAACTTGTCGATTGCCAGGCAGCAGCAGCGGGACCCTGGCCGAGGCGATGCGAAATAAAACTTTCACATAATGGCTTCGAAAGTTGCACACTTTGGTGCAGAATTGAACTCACCTTTTTGTGCTTTTGGGCCTGGCCCACCGAAACTTGTTCCTGTTCTGTTCCTGCCGCTCGCTCGTCTGCCAAACAAATAGTTGGCCATAAGAAGTTGTTCAAATATTTATTTACTTTTTCAAGTTGCCAACATATTTCTTTTTTTTTTTACCCCGAGTGTGTGTGTGTGTGTTCAGTGTGTGTTTGCCTGGTTTGGTCCAATGTTTATGTATAATTCCCTGGGCCAAGTTACCGGCAGCTGCTGCCACTTTTAGCACTTCTCCTTCTGGCCAAAAAAACTAATAACAAATCTTTTCATTAGTTGCGTTAGACAAGTTAGTTAAAAAGTGCACTTTACGCAAACAAATGCGTGTCTATAAAAGAAAATTCAACTAAGAGCCAAGAACAAAAACGAAATAAAAATTGAATCAGCTAAGCCAATAACCAGGAGGAGTAGGAAAGCACTCTCTTTCGTAGAAGAAGTTCGCCGCCACACGAAAGGTGTACAAGTTTTCCAGAGCTACTGAGCATAATGAAAGCATAACATTTAGTTAGCACTTGTGTATTTGCAATATAAACTGAGGGGAGCGCACCACCTCAACCTCAGCTGGGATAGACAACAACTTTTCATTAATAACTCAAAAATGTTTTGTCTTCAAAAGTTCGCATATACACACACACACACACACACCTCATCTCGGCAGGGTAACTTTTGGGGTCTGGGTCTGCCTCATACCAAACTTTTATGCTGTTGTGCTGAAAACAAATCAAAGGAGTTTCCGACAAAGTTACTCTTGTATTTTTCCCCTTTTTCCTTAATGCTTTATTTTTCTCGTTTTTTGATGACTCTGAGTGGAACAGACTGTGACAAACAATGACAACGGCAATGAGCAAAGCCCAGCCCATGACAATGGCAATTAAAGCTATAGCCATAGCTACATCCAAGAGTACGGGAATCGGTCCAAAGTTTGCCCATAAAAAAAGCATGGAAAACAACTATGGCAAATGGGTAAAAACTCTGGTAATAAAGGAAAATTATGATGATTTTCTATTTGGCATCCCCGGCAGAACAGGATCGTTTCAAAGCATTTGGCGCGAAAACAAAGGACCATAAAACCGGGTCGCATCCTGACCAGCAACCACTCCCCCCACGCCCCAACTCTTTGAAAGGAAGCGAGTGGAAAAGAAATTAAATGACAGGAAAATGTATATATAGTATATATAAGTATTAAGCGATAACATTGTTGTTTTATCCCCGGGAGCGTTAAGTGAAATCATTCACGGTCGGACGAGCTGTCGAAGGAAATTTGCTGTCGACACGATTAAAATATATATAAATTATTGCAAAGAAAGAAAAATAGCTGAGAGAAGTTTGTAAAACTTTGGAATAAGTGAAAAATAGTTTCAGTCATTAATAAGATGTCGAAAATTATAAGTAGTGACAGCTGAAAATTGGGAAAATCCAAGGAGATGAGTTAACTAATCTATGGAGTATAGAGAAAATCTAAAAAAATTGCAAGGAAAATTTTATAAAAATAGCAAGGAACTAGAAGATTTACAATATATTTTAAAATTGGTTTAAGCTTAGTTTAAATCTATTAAAACCGTAGTCTTAAAGTCTTTACTCTAGTATCCTTTATATTTTATAATTAATTAGCAAACTTCTTATGTTTAAAAACTCCTTCCTACTCCTTTTTAGTCACTTTTCTTTGCCATCTAGACAACCCTTTTGCAAATTGCTGTATGAATGATTTTCCAGTTTGCTGTCAAAGCCTTGCACAATTTCAATTTCCATTCTCCCAAGTCCTTGTCGTTCATTATCTGCTTTGTAATGTCTGTTTATTAACAATAACGGGTATATGTATAAAGCAGAAAATGAGATGAGAGAGAGAGAGAGAAGAGGAAGGAAAGGAAAGCGCAAATAATGTTTAAACAATTTGTTGTCGTTTCGTTTCATTAAATGTCTATTCGCCTTCATTGACCAGGCCCCCCACAAGCTGCAAAAAGGAACCCCCAAACCCCCCCTCTTGGCACTTGACTACGACTACTATGCAGTATTCCGTATCTCGGGGCTGTCATTATAATTTGCAAAAACTCGCTGGTAGAGCGAAACAAAAAAAAAAAAATTAGCAATAAAATGAAAAGCAAAGTGAAATGGCCGCAGGAACTGAATCTGTGAGAGAGGAGAGAGAGAGCCGTGGCCACTTGTTGCCGCTTTGGTAGCCAGTGATTTCCTGTCCCTCTACCACTTTGGGGATGACGGGGCAGGAGGAGCAGCAGCAGCAGCTTGCGGGGGCGGCGACTGGCGACTGACGCTTCCTGGAGCTTGGCGCTTCCACTTGGCAGTGTCCGTACGCGAAATTATTATTGCTCTTGCCTTCCTTTTCGAGGCAATCCATTTGTACCCTGGAAATGGGTAGTTAGATGGGTTCTTTGGTTTTAAGAATTGAAATTTATAAATATTTTAAATTAGTTTTAGTAAAATTGGGTGTTTTAAAAAGTATCTAACGTTCTTGGATAATAAAAATAAAAAAGAATATTTCTTTATTGAATATTTCTTTAAAGAACATGTTTTTCCTGTAGTATTCCTGTAATATTTCATAAAAAAAAACCTTCCTTAGTACCTAGGATATTCTCATATTCTTCCTTATAATTCCTACCCGCCATAGCCATCATTTTTTCGTTGTTCTTTTTGTTTGTTGGTAGCTGTAAAAATTATTATTTTTATGCTGCCTGCCTGGCTAGTCAAGTCGGCTAAGAGTGGAGCTGGAGAAAAGCTAAAGAGGAGCTGTTGCTGAAGCAGAGACGAGTCTGTTGCCGTCTTCATGCCACTTGAATGACTCATTAAAAGTGATTTCATTTTAAAACATTTTCCTCGCTGCGGTCGCTCCACATCCCTTGATCCTTCGGCTGCAGATACCCAGCCACATCCATGCCCCAAAGACCATTCTCCGGCATTGTCGTTTTCTCCCGGGCTTAGCAACTTATCAGCTGGCTGAGCGCCGAGCCGCCTCTCATTTCCTCCGGTTTCCAACTTGGCTGTCATTTAATTTACTTTCGAGTTTACTTTTTTAATTCGCTTAGTTACTTTGACTGCTGTGCGTTGCTGCCGTAAATCCTTCAGAGGAAAAAAATAAAGAGAAAAGGCGGATAAGGCGGAGGGTCTGAGGAGGAAACAGGGCACTTGTCCTAAGATAAGCGCCATGAAGTCCACTCTACACGAAGAGAAAGATCAATTAATTTATATAGACCCGAAGGTTAGATTTAATTGGAAATAGATTAGGGAAGTTAATAGAGAAATTTATTTAAAGAAAAGCCTTTGTTTTGGAAGGATTTTGGCAGAAATAAATTATACATAAGCATGGAAAAACTTGGTAGATATTAAATACTGGCCTAAAAATATATACCCTTTGCTAAAAAATTCGAATCTTAAATTAATTAATAATCTTAAATGTATTTTTATAAGATTTTCTTTTCCACTAGATTCTTTTTGAATGTGTAAGCAAACAATTCAGGCCAAGTTACTTTGCCTAACAGGATACGACGATATTGCAATGTGCAATGTTGCTGGCATGTTATAGCTGCAATATCGCAGCCCGTTCAGCTTTTGTCAGCCTTTTTACCTAATTCCCCAGATTAGCTGCATTATGCGCCACACCGGGCGCATAATAATAACATGGCCAACGAACCGAATCCCCTTCGTACTCACCCAAGTTTGCAGGGCCATGTTGCACATCCTC